TTTTCGAGTTACATGAACAGACAGAAAAGTAGATCAGCTAAAATTATTAAAGGTTGATCTTACTCTCTTTAATACTAGATACATCAAATTTTTATTATACTTTCTAATTTTCTTTAAGTTTGACATCTCTAGAAAACAATATTTCGCTTCAGATCTTACAAGCATATTTTACTTTTGCAAAAAATGTAAGATGTAAAATGTTTAGTCATGATCAATAAAGCAGTCATAATTTTTCATGATGTCCATTTGATTTGAGTTACTTTCTTTTCAAATTATACCTTTCAACTTTTGAGTCACCCTTTAGAATAGCAATATTTCTTTTATTATCTTCCAGTGAAACCATTTGATAGAGAATTTCACTACGAGTACTTGTATCGAAGGAAAATAATGGAGACAATTAAATTTTCTACGAATTGTAAAAGAACCAATGGACTATAAAAGAAATACTGTCATTTTCAATGAAAACTGATAGTAATATTCATAAAAATATGTCGCTTAGCCAATGTCAGCATCAACTTAGAACATATGATTATTGTGAGGACTGCTTAGCATATCGTTGTCACTTACAATTAAATCCTATCATTCGATTTCGATACTAAGGAAGTCATTCGAATAAAAATCAATTTATCACTCAAGGTGAAATAAAACATTGATCAATCATATAAATGAAGACTATCAGTGAATGTTTTTAGCAACTGCAATGAGATAGGTCGTGATAGAGAGAAGAAAGGCTCAAACTTTGAAAATAAGATGCTCACAAAATACGCAAATATAGCCATAGACAATTTTTGTTTGATCATTTTCTTCACCAATTATTTCAAATACGTTTGAAATTTGAATTCTTCATTGCTCTACTATAATCTATCTATATATTTCTTAATGAGATTTGAGGCATTTGCTAGTGTTTTAATATGGTAGAACATTGAAACTGGAAAAAAATCTGATAGAACAAATGAAAAGAAAATTACGCATAGTCTAAAAAACCACTGTAACTGGAAAATGACTAGAAGTTTTCATGTACTAACTAGTTTTAAGGAGTCGATGTAAAAATAGTGAAAACTAGTTGATTAGTCATTAAAAATGAGTGTAAATAGATAAGATGTGTTTATAATCGATTCTCTATGAAACAGTGATTGATACGTTTTTGGTGACTCATCAAATCTTTTGTGGAGTATACATATTGAAATATGTAAACATCTTTTTTTATCTTCATTTTGTCTGTCCGCCTAAACATGTTGAATCTGATGGTATTATTAGTGTATCATTGCAAGAGAACCTATGTCATCTTTTAAGTTATAAAAAGTCCCATGTTCGAAAGCAAGTTACAATTCCTGTACTACATTCATTTGTAATTAGAACTAAAATATTCGTTGCGAATATCATCTTCACATAGCCAACGTTCTATAGGTATCGAGTACCATAATAAAGTTCTGTGCGTGGTTGAAGTCTAAAAAAAATCATCTTGATATGTTAACTTGTTCATCTCAAAATTTATCGATAGAAAATAGGCAAATCATGTGAAAATTTCGTTTGAAAATTAGAATGCCAGGACTTTATCTTTTTGACAAAGTTTACTAGAAAGTTATCATCTCGTTGAACATAGAGTCCAATAATCAACAAATTTCATTACGTTCATAACTTCCAAATCAGAAATACAATTATGATATTTAATTCATGAAAATGCTCATTTCTTCATTGTCATGTCATTTTTCTTAATTTTTTACGTTGATGAAGTGTGGTTAATTTTCATTCACTCTCTATTAGACATTAACGTATGTACAGTCATTTGTTCAACAAACCTAGACTAAGCGTACATGAAATCGTATGAAATTTGATCATTATCCCAAATATAGTCAAATATTATATTTTATCTCATAAACACAATTTTATTGAACTTGACTGTTGATAATTGGAATGAAAATGAATTGAAATGGTTGAATATGGTAAAAAGAAAAGATCTATTCCATTCATTTCATTTCCAATTTCAAAGAAGTTAAAAGAAATTTTTTTGGCTTATTTGTCTTATATGAAACCTTATATTCCGACTACACATTATACATTCTATACTATTTATATAGATTAGGTGACAGACAACGTAACTCTATAATAAATTTTAGGGAAAGATCGTTCAACTAGCGGACAGGTATAGATATCTACTCAAAATAAGAGTTGGATTTTGACATTTACGAAAACAATCATATGTCAATAGATATTTTTATAAATATATGTCTCTCTTTAATAAGAAGAGTTGGAACTACGTGTCGTCTCTCATTAGAATCATTGAACATCGAACTTGAAATGCCTCTATTTCACTTGTTTTTTCGGTTTTGCCTTAGTATTGAGAAAATGTATTGTTTTTAATTTCAATCATAAAATCATAGGAAACTTTGAAAAAGGAATTGGTGTATTTCACCGATTTTTTTTTCATCCTAACTATATGTTAGACCAAATTGAATAGTATATTTGACATCAATATAAAAAATACGTCAAATCAGAGATATTACATTACTGATGTCAACTATGTTATTTATTTTACTTTGATATTGAACGATAATGAATGTCGATTAAGTATAATCGATTTTGGATGATAATTTCAATGTTATATAATATATATATATATATTCTTTCTATTGTCCGTCCAACTTTATATATTCAGTAAAAAACCTCAAAATAGTTCGATGAACTTCTTAAACATAGAATAATTTTTATCGCATATCTTTACATGTTACTAAATGTTTGGTTTTATTTGAACTATTCTTGAGATCTGCGTTACTTGAAATTTAATTAAATGAATTTTTAGTTATGTCAATCTTCTTATCATTTTGTAACAAATGACTTATTATAGTTGCATTTTGTTAACATAAAAACCTGTATTAAATTTAAAATTCTTTTGAGTTTTTTTCATTTGATATACACTCTTTCAGATCAATATCAGAGTAATAAGTCATGTGTTATAAGAGAGTAACAAACCAGTCCGACAAGACTTTAAAAAAACGTGTATTTTTTTGAACAAATTTTAATATCTTCAAAAATCTCTCGTTTTTGCTCGTTCTTCTCAAAGTAATTCAACGTATATAGACGCAGAATCTTTAGTTCAATTACCTATATTTATACAGAAATACCTGATGGGAGACTTATTATTTATAAACTGTCCGACTACTTTTTTTTGTTTTTACTCATATACGAGTTGATGCCTGCTTCTTCTTCTTCTATTTGTTTACTTTGTTTACATATTATTTTTCTCAAAGTTCAAAATATGATTTCTATGTTGTTTTAAATGAAGGTAAATACAAGTTTGTAAGGAATTCAATTATGCACCTATCAAAAACAAATTCTGACAATCTAATTAAGATCCATGCATTCTAGATTACGTATAAAATCTACATATCCATATGTGATCCTATGAAGAGCGTCGATTGGATTAGTATTTCTATTCTTAGCATTTCGAAATTATAAGTCACTAGCGGAAGTACCCGACGTTGTCCGGAAAAATTCAGTCTTAATATATGTAAGCAAAACTCCTATTGCACTCGAGAACATGTCAGTAAATCTAATCAGTACAGAGTAGATACGCATAAAACTCTATTTTTTGTTCCGGTCCTGGTTATGGTTTTTGGACTTATTTCAAGTCCCGCCACGGCTACTCTCGCTCTCGACAGATATGAAATGCCGACATGGAAAAATTGATCAGAAGTGAAGAATTCTTCGTTCTTACACGCCTAGATCAAGAAGAACTTGATGAAACTAATGAGTTCTATCGAGTTTTTATCTTGGCCAAGCATTTATAAGAGCATATACCCATCTTGATCGACCGCGGTCGTACTTGGTCACGTTCCTGGTCCCAGAGCTGTATAGTTATGTCTCTAGTGGGGAGTCCACATGGATAATCGATTCTTCGACAGCGTTGCAAGAAAAATCCGTTTTGATCGAAACTTAGCGTAACGATACATCTAATTGATCTAGAACGTCGCATTTTGTACTACTGAAATCACACTGAATTCCAATTGATTGCAAAGAAAGACAGATCCTTTAACGACCTAAGGAGTCAATATCTATGACGCACAAATTTTCAGCGTCATAGGCTATTTATTGGAAATCCCTGTCTCACACGACGTCCAGGGATCAACTTCCCCAAAAGCTGAACTTGTGTATGACATGGGTCACCCTTGATATTCATTTTCCCAAAAACTCGGTTCCTATTGATTTCGAGCCAACCAATCAGATTTGAAAACCTGCAGTTCCGTGTTTCTCTATGTGTTCATGGAGTGCTACTCAATAGTACTTCTATAGTACCGAATACTGCAATCTGATTGGTCAGTAGCATAGGCATACTTTTTGCGAGCGAAGAACCAATTCTTTTTGAACAAAAAATAGATGTTGACCTTCTCCTGGATGAAAGGAGAATTCCTGGAAAGTTTGATTGCATTCGCTTGTACGATGTGGAAATGCATAAAGAACAGACAGACAGATAAACATTCTTCTTTATATATAAAAAGATCAAATTCTATAGATCCACCTCAATTGTCCTATAACGTGAAAAGCATCCTCAAAGTTCTCCAACAACAGGGATTAGATTTTTCTCAAGATTTTCTCAGTTTAGGAGTTTTACATAGTTCTTCTTGTCTAATGTCCATATAAATGATCATCCGACAAAAAGATTCTACATTCTCGCAATTCCGAATAAAATCCTCAGATCTCTATATTTTTCTATCAAAAGCTTTCATAGAATTAGCATTACTCTTTCGTAGAGGACCTTCTTACAGCAATTTCCAGGTATTGTTTTTATTATCAAAAAGATCTTAGCAAAAACTAAAAGTGACATAAATGTAAGAATCGTTATGAAATCCTTTTTTCTCATAGAAAACTAGGAAAATACTTCTGAATTTTTATCTGCGGAACGAGCATTCTCAAAGACGAATGTTGTATTTGTAGCGCTTGCTCCCACGAGAGATGGAATCTCTTCGACAACGAAGATTTCTTTTCTTTTTCGTTCATTGTAGTAATTCCCAATATTCCAGTCGATGCTCGATGGGCACAGCATGGAGTGACTGTTGCTGGAGGCCATGGAGAAGGCAGTGCCACCAATCAACTCTACTACCCTTGTGGTCTCTTCGTTGATGATGATCAAACGATGGTCATCGCTGACTACTGGAATCATCGTATTATCCAATGGAAGATGGATGATACGAATGGACAAGTAGTAGCTGGCGGCCATGGCCTAGGAAATCGATTGGATCAATTGTATTGTCCAACCGATGTGTTGACTGACAAAGAGACTGATAGTCTCATTATTTGTGATCGGAGGAATGGACGAGTCGTACGATGGTCTCGTCGTAGTGGTACAACTCAAGGAGAAATCCTCATCGACAACATCTGGTGTTATGGATTGGCCATGGATGATCAGAGATATCTCTACATCTCTGACGACGAAAAACATGAAGTAAGACGATATCAAATAGGAGACAAGAATGGAACTCTTGTGGCTGGTGGCAATGGCAAAGGTGCTAGCCTCAATCAACTCAACTTTCCGACCTACCTCTTTGTCGATCAACAACAGACTGTCTACGTGACAGACACCGGCTATCATCGTGTAATGAAATGGAATAAAGGTGCAAAAGAAGGAATTGTCGTCGCTGGAGGTCAAGGCAAAGGGAATGCTCTGACACAACTGGCAGATCCTCAAGGACTGTTCGTCGATACGTTGGGTACCATCTATGTGGCAGACTCGATGAATGATCGAGTGATGCGTTGGCCTAAAGGAGCGAAACAGGGCACTGTCATTGTGAGTGAAAATGGTGAAGGAAAAGAAGCTAATCAGTTCAAAGCTCCCGTCGGTTTGTCCTTCGATCGACATGGCAATCTCTATGTCGTCGATGAGTTTAACTATCGTGTTCAACGCTTTTCAATCGAATAGACTCGTCGTGACAGATTTTTTTTCTTTTCTTTCCTTTCAAATAAATCACGTTGAATTGATGAAATGAATGTCTATTCTATTCGTACGCGCGCGCGACCAGGAACCATCCTGGTGAAGCCGTGGCGAGCGTAACGCTCATGCACGCACAGGACAGGCTCATATCATTCATACCCTCCCCGCGAGAGATATGTCAATGAGTCTGAATAAGCCTGGTCGTGTGCCACGGACACCAAGACAGTTCCTGGCAGGGTTTTTAGGGACTAACCGGAAGTCCTTCATAAAAGACGAAACCCTAACTCTCAACGGACAGAACTCACCCTTCTCAGTCTGCCTCTCCCTTATTCTCATCTCAAAAAAAACAAAGGTACTCACTACGTTTGACGTTGAATGATGATGTTGTTGATTGTGACGACATGATGATATTGAGGACTAAAAAGAAAAGAAAAAAAAAATTAAATTAATGTTATATAATGGAAAAGAATCAGTTCATTTACCCCCACTATTATCTTTTTTCTTCACTGTTCAGTGTCTAAAATTAAGATAGCCAATGCATGAAAAAGATCATAGGAGGATTTACTACTCTCTATATGATCTTAAAGAAAGAAAAAAAAAAGAAAAAAATGATACCTACATTTTATTTTATTGTTCGATGTTGAATTGAATAATTTTGTATTGTCGAAGCCAACCTAAAATATAAAACAAAATAATTATTATTTGATTCAAATAATTGAATGACTTCTTCGAAGA